GGAAGTGGGAGGGGTAGGGGAAAGGAAAGAAGGGAATGGAATATGAGAAAATGAAAAAATGGAAACAAAGTCTTTATAAATAGGGAGGATGGAGGGGTTGAAAGGAGGGCAGGGGAAGAGGGAAAAATAAGAACCAAGAGAGATTATGTAAAGGTACAAATTTCCAATGATGAATGTCATTATATTGTATATCTAAAATGTACCAATAAAATAAAATTTTAAAAAAAGACTCAGTGGGCTTTAAACCCATCCTGTGCCACCCCTAACTTGCTTGTCATTCTTAGCCTTAACCTTTCTTCTGAGCAGCATATAGCACACTTTCTGTTCAACTGCCCTCCCAAAATCTCCACTTAGATCTCATGGTTTTCATAAAGTAAGAAGCTCTCTGATTTTGAATTCATGATCTTAAACCACACAGTGTTCCTCTTTTGTACAAAGCTGAGATCTGTCAGGGCTCATGCCAGAAACCTTAGTATCCTCTGGACATTCTCTCTCTTAGAAACCACAGCAACATCTGTCTTCCCTCCAAAACAGATCTTGAATCACTCACTTCTTATCTCCACTGCCAAAACCATACACAATCCAAGAGTCTATTATCTCTAATCTAGACTCTTGAGATAGCTTTGTAACTGGCTATCTGACTACAACAGTAGTTACTTTTACTTATGTCCTTCAATGCCTTCAACTGATGAGACTGAAATTCTGCAAGGCTGGTATAGACAGCCCCTCCCCACCTCTCCCTGATTTACTTCATACCCCTCCCTCCTTTGATCTCTATTTCTCCTATAAAAGCCTCTCTTCCATTCCTCCAAAAGGTCAAAATCCCATCAGCCTGCATACCTGCTTTTCCATCCATGCTAGAAACTCCCCTTTCCTGATCTCTCCAGCCCTCATCCAGCTCATTCCTTTTCATTTTTTAAGACTCAGTTTTAATGTTACTTCCTCAATGAAGCATTCCCTGAGAACTTTAGAGCTCTTTGTACTATATCTTAACTCATAGCATCCCCTAATAATCTCCTTCATGGCACTGACCACAAGTGTGTAATTGCTGCATAACTGTGTTTAGTGTACATTTTATTTGCTGGCTAGTAAGATCTATGAAAACAGACTATAGTTGTATTATTTATCTATGAATTTCCAGTGTCTATAAACACATTTGGAATAAAGTACAGTAGGTACTCAAAAGTATGTTGCAATGAATGAAGGACGGAAATAAATTGATTCAAGAACTAGGTCATGTATTTTTATCACAGTCTTCCTTGTGAATCTAATCAGTGGCTCTCCTTGGCTTTCTGCAGTTTGGATAGCCTTACTTCTTTAATATTCTATCCTTTATTATCTTTCAACCAGCAGGTGCCTTTAGTGCAGGCATTTATTTTATTCAGCTTTCTATTTCTACAAAGTATTTTGCACATAACCTGCTCTTTTCATTTTGTCCATAACCCAATATAAATGAGTATTTTAAATAAAAAATAAAATCATAGTGAAGGATAGAAGAATGGAAGAAAACAGGCAGGAAGAATGACATTCAAAATATCAAATGGGTTTGACATGTTTTCACAATTCAGATCGATCAAGTATTTGAGTTGCTGTTATAAAATAGTTGTTTAGCATATCTTCAACTACAGATTTATACTATATAAATTAAATAACATATTAGTAATATGGAAACAAAATGTATAGTATCTTCCTCATTTTGAAAGCATATTCTACAAGAGTGGCAAATTTAATCATTACGGTCCTTAACTTTTTCTATTTCATCTCTCAATATATCTAAGCTAATTTCTGTAGTAATCTATCCTCTTTGAACATTTTCCCCATAACCCAGTACCATAAAAAGCAAAATTTTGAAGCAAGTCATGGTAGGTAGAAATTATTGCCAGGTATCTGGAGATTGTAATACAAAGTCCAGGAGCTCTTGGAAAGACA